AGGCATGTGATCCATCACTCCATGCTCTCATGATCTTAGCAGGCCGGAACCAGTCCGTCCAAAATATGTATCTGGAAATAAAAATAAAATGCACTGAAACTAGAAATAGTCATCAAAATGTTGATATTTCTCCCCTGCCTGTCACCTGCAGTGCAATAAAAACCCAACCCCCAAACTAAAAACGGTCTTTTAGACATAGTACTTACTATGTTCTGACACTTGTTCTTGCTATCGCTTATAGAGGAAACAAATTTAAAAACAAACTGAACTCAACTCAACTCAACTCAACACTCACTCACTCACTAAATAAATAAAAGGATAATAATGGATTGGATTCAGATTTCCCTTAAGTGGATTTCACGAGGCACTACACTGGAGGAAGGGATTGGCAGGCAATTTTCATCTATTCCTCTTTCCCCTTATGCCCCCCACAGTGCCATTTCCCATGATGTTCCAAAGGGCACTGTGACCCTGCGGGGTATTTTGGGAGGGAACTGCAGTGTGCTGCAAGGGGAAATCCACGGAAAATTACCTAGGGATAACTTGACGCTAAATAATAATAGTAACAGTAGTAGTGGTGACTAGTTTTCACCAAAACAAAAGTTTAACTCAATAGAGAAGCAAGTGCCAGCCATTATGGAAAAACAGCAATAAATAAAAATATTATGGCTTCTTGTTACAGATCTGTCAACAGTTAACAATATGGAAATAAGGAAATAGATAGGAGGAAGATTTTTCCATAGTATAATCAAAGTTACAAGACATTCACAGAAGGTTTAAATTAGCCTCTCGCCCAGAGATAATGGGAACTGACTCCAGCTGCATAACCAAGTGCCAGGAGAGGGAGCCCCCATCATCAGAGGCAGTATGCATAACCACGATAATAACCTCCGCATGGACTTTGCATTCTGAAATAACTTCTTTTTCCTCTACAAAGCAAAAACATCAGGCTGGGATTTGGCCCTCAGAACGGAGTATCAGAGACTAGGTAAGTGAAAGACATGCTCTAACACTCCTCCAAGAGAGTTATTTATAAAGATAACACCGTGGAGATAACAGGAACTCTTACGCTGCAGTGAGTTCTGTTCCAATCCAAAGAAAGAGCACAGAACAAACGCTTCTTGGTTTTTTAATAGATAATTCTGCTGAATACCCCTTTTGTGTTGATTTTGTACCACCTTGCGTTTTGCTCTGGATGTTGTAACTGGTGCCAGGACAACAAGGAGGAGGGGGAGGGATGCCTGAACAAGGAGAAGATATCTGAGATGGGAAAAGGAGGCTCCTGGACTGAAAACAGCAAGAAGTATTTTTGAAATACAAAACCATATGGCCCTTAAAACACACACAAAATTTTTTTTAAAAAAAGTTGGAGTCAATCTACAGTTTCAGAAATATCATGTGGTACAGCCCTCCTGGACCTGGTATCACTTCAGAATGGAGGTGGTGGAATGGCATGGTTGAATACCCACATTTTTAATAGCAATCCTGCATGTGGAAAAACAGGTTACAGTAGAAATCGTTTCTATAGCATTTCCAGACAGGGGACTATTGACACAGAGGAGCATTCTAGCACATGGTGCACTGCCTGCATTCTAACACAGCAGCATCGCAGAAGGGCTTTACCTCGTTATATTTCTGAACACACAGCTGAGTGCTGAGACTTACCCAATAACAGGATGAACCACTATTGAACGAGGGTTATTCAGATTCTGAACTATAGCTCTTCTCGATTTATCAGCCAATCTCATGACACTAATGCTCCTATACGGAGGGTCCGTCCAGTAGATATTCTTGGAGATCCAATCAAAAGCCAAGTCTTCAACTCCTTCCACTCTGTTGGCTACAAGGATTTCCCTGCCTGGTGTTCATATAAAATGGACATAAAATTTATCAAAAGGGGAATGGGGAACTTTCTATTTAAGCGTTATATGATAAATAGTTAACTATTTGTTTAACCACTTCCCCTCTGCAATCCCCAAAGTGAGTGGCCAGTGGATGGGGAAGTAAGCAGTAGATTTCTATTGCATCCTGTGCTCATTGCAATCAACGCTGCTTCCGTTCTGCTACAGTTTGATTTCCACTAAAACCTATGTTATAGAACCTATTTGCTATGGCCAGAACTAACCTAATTAATTAATTCCAGCAGAAGGGCAACATCAAAACCAATGCAGACTACAGCATAGCATTTGCAGACTAATAATAATGATAGTGAATACTGCTCCATTCCTGATATAGGTTGAACATGCAAATTATGGCAACTTCCACTCCCATTTCCATAGGAATTCTATGGAATCCCTATCTATAGCTCAGTGGTGGAAAACATTCTATGTATGCAAAAGATCCCAGGTTCAATTTCCTGTTAAAAGAACTGAGGAACCATACTTGGGAAACATCTCAGGCCTATGTTTTAGATTTAGAAGGCCCATGGACCAGATCCAGCCCCTGGGCCTTAGTCTGCCTACCCATGCCTAAGAGCCCAATCATCTTCTAAATCCGGCCCACTGACGGTCCGGGAATCAGCGTGTTTTTACATAAGAAGAGTGTGTGCTTTTATTTAAAATGCATCTCTGGGTTATTTGTGGGGCATAGGAATTCGTTCATTATTTTTCAATATATATTTCGGCCTCCCACAAGGTCCACAGTGGACCAGCCCCCTGCCGAAAAAGTTTACTGACCCCTGCCTAAGAGCCTTGAAAAGCAGCTCCCAATCAATGCAGACAGTATGGAGCTATACGGGCCAGCAGTTTTATTCTATATAAGACAGTCTATAGAGATGAGCTATTTTTGCTCTTTCAAAACAGCAGTTTTGCTTTGTAGTCTGAATCAATGGGATCAAAAGCGATGATTACCCATTTTTTCCTGCTCAGTTCAAGATGCTAAGATAGGCAGAGGAGGAAATCAAAACAGAGAGATTTGCATCTTACCTGTCCCATCTGTTTTTTGTTTATAAATTATGTCCTTAATGGTATCAGAATAGAAGATGGTATCCTCCTGAGCGTAGAAGTCAATCCCAACAAAATAGGAAGGGGTCCCTGTCACAGGGATGATCACATCTTCCTGGGTGGAAAGATTGAATGGGATTCCACGAACAGCTAGCTGGGATGAGAAGAGCAGAAACTGCTGCACAGCTGTAATGGGAAAGAACACAAAAAAATCAGCTTCCTTACTTCAAGGCTCCAATGATCCTAAAATAATAGATAGTTAAAGTTAATGCTTTTAAAAACATAACTGAGATTAGGAGAAAATATCCATGCAAGAACATCTACCAGAAAAGACAAATTCAATTAAAAATGAAAAGTGGAGAACAGAAAATTTCAACAAAGCATGTATACAAACTTAAACAAGTGCCCAATCTAAAGGCATATGATGTTGTCAACTAAGCAGGCCTTCAGCTGGGAAATGCCTCCATCGGAAACGGTCTAAAAAACCTATGTTGTGAGATTTGTGATGGAAGAAAGGTGGAATATAAATGTGATAAAGAAATAAAATAAGGGCCAAACCCAGCAATGGAACTTTGCCTGCTCTAGATCACAACAGAACCCAATCACACGCCCAAATCATTTCTGAAATGAGAAGTACATGCAGGATGCAAGCCAAGGAACTGGGATGGGCTGCAGATAAGGGACTACCTTTGAAACACAACAGTTCCCACCACGTGGAATACTTTGGGCAAGCTTAGGAAACATGCACAACACCCCTACGGGGAGATGCGAGTAGTCCCACATTCACTCTGCTACATAATGGTGCACAGCAGCTGTGAGGATTGCACACACTGAAACTGAAAAGCCAGCTAGCAATACAGCCATCCACAGAAGCATTACTTAAGAGAGTCAGCATGAGTCCTTACCAATGCAACGTCGTCCGTCAGCATGCAAGTCAAAGCCCAACATGCATTTGCAACGATAGCCAAGACCATCATTATCTGTTTTGTGACTGAGAACACAGATCTGCTCACACCCTCCATTATTGCTACCACAAGGGTTTCTTACTGGAAAAAAATAATACGGTTACAGCCTTACCAAACTAAATCAAATGTTAGGTTTTCATGATGTTTTTAATTTCATTGGTACTTTTTACCTAAGTGCATGCAGACCATTAGGAACAAAATATCAGCTTTCCTCTACTCATGTTGAGTGCCTCCTATAACACATTTACATGGTCAACTCCTGTTAAATCTGTTCAAATTTCCCAACCGTCTAAGCATTTCTGAACCGATTCTCAACATATTGCAGACTCACAGATTTGGCTTATTTTTTTCCCCCAAAAGTAGTTTTTCTTTCTACATATCAAGTACATTTAAGTCCCCTTGATTTAAAAGGGAAAGCAAAAAGCATTCCTCTCTCCTACTGAAAACAATGGGACTTGAATTGCATAACGTCTTGGCTCATAGGCTGTCTCACACCTAATTCATCTGAAACACATTCATTCATTCCAGCTAATAAGGAAATGCCGCTCTCCCTTTTAAGAGTAGTTAGAACAGTATGCTTAAAAAAAGAAAAGAAAATTACACACACACACACACACACACACACAAACCAGACCCCCCAAGTGTCCCTATTTTCCAGGGACAGTCCCAGAGTTACAGAAGCCGTCCCAGTTTCTGATTTAATCCTGGAATGTCCCGCCTTTCCTTAGGATGTCCCTATTTTCACTGGAGAAATGTTGGAGGGTATAGAGATAAGTAACTTATACAACCTTTAAAAGACATCTGAAACCAGCCCTGTATAGGGTAGTTTTTTATTGTTTACTATTTTATTATGTTTTTATATATGTTGGAAGCCACCCAGTCAGATGGGCAGACTATAAATAATCAGATTATTATTATGGAATAGGGTGTCCCTATTTCCATCAGAGAAATATATAACATACACACAACACTTATCACTTGGAAGATAGGACAAGGTGCTATCCCAGCTGCCAACCCGTAAATAAGTATGCTGTCATGTTACAGATAGGTAGCCGTGCTGGTGTGCCATAGTTGAAACAAAATAAAAAAATTCCTTCCAGTAGCACCTTAGAGACCAACTAAGTTTGTTATTGGTATGAGCTTTCATGTAGCTCATACCAATAACAAACTTAGTTGGTCTCTAAGGTGCTACTGGAAGGAAGTTTTTTATTTTGTTATGCTGTGATGTGAGAGCTGGCAGGACGCCTGAAATTAAGTCTCCTGGAGATCTACCACCACAGTCCCTCAAGTGTGCAGTGATGTCAGAGCTGACAGTACTGCTCCCTTCAACATCAAGGATGCGACCAACCAACAAGGAGAACAGCTCACATGCAGCCCAAACTGCTAGATGCACGAAGTATCCCTTGCCCTGCATGCTGTTGTCATATCCACTGGGCTCCTTCTTCCCTTACAAGTGCAAAGATTCCGTTACGTCGGAGATGGGGAGCCCAAGGGCCTCCAAGTCCTATCCGTCACAGATGGCATGGTCGATGGTAAGGCTGCAGTTTAGCCGGACATGCCTTATCCTATCCATCACAGATAGCATGGTTGATGGTTAGGCTGCAGTTTAGCCAGACATGCCTTACATCTGTCTGGTTGTATTTTATTCTTTGAAAGCTTCAAGGGAATAAGGCACTGAATGAACATCAGCCATGCCAAGCATTCGTGCAACACAGTTATCACAACTAATAGCCACATCCACGGCATCCAATCACACCTTCAGCCATTTTAAAGAGGCTACTTCCCTTTGGCTCCCTCATTTGACTTACCATAGGGCTGCCTGAGAGCATGATAGACTGTCACTCCGTACGGACGCAAGGAAGACTGATAAATAACTTGTGGGTTAGAATCCTCAAATTTATTAGCTTTCATCACCGCCATCTTTGTCCAGTCAGTAAAATACACATTGTGTTCAAAAAGGCTTATTCCATAAGGATGAGGAATCAAGGAGCCTCCGTGAGCTATTGTTCTCCTGTTCGTGAGTCAGAAAGAATTATTTTTCATTAACAAAATCTGAAAATGAAGACTTATAGTCAGGCAAGATCAATATTACATTCCATCTCTGGTTATGGTGGCTTCACAAGGGATTTAGCAACTGACTTGCGGAATCATAAACAAATATGCACACTGAGGGTCAAAGAAGAAAAATCACAGAGGAGAAAAATACTGGGATGATGTAAAATTGAAAAGACTGAACAGGACATCAAGGAAGGGTTATAAGGGGGTGGTCAACTAGATGAGCTTTTAAAAAAAATAAGGAAGAAATGAAAGGGCTCAAACCAATAAAACCAATTTAACTGCTTTACTGGATCAGATTAAAGACTCATGCAGTTCTGCAACCTGTTCTCACAGTGTCGAAAAAGAAGACTATGGGGAACACACAAACAGAACCTGCACACAATGGCACACAATTGTATGCCTATAATTCTCAGCAACTGTTCATAATAATAATAATTTTATTGTTTATACCCCGCCCATCTGGCTGGGTTTCCCCAGCCACTCTGGGCGGCTTACAGCACATATTTTTAAAAATTGTAAAATATCAGACATTAAAAATTTCCCAATACAGGTCTGCCGTCAGATGGCTTCTAAAAGTCAGAAAGTCTATTTCCTTGACATCTGATGACAGTGAACACAACCATCAGGACAAGTAGCTATTGATAACCTTAATGGACTTTGGAAATGATTGCGGCATTAATTATGAAGCAAGGCTATTGGCAGATTCACACCAAACATTTAAAGCACATCTGCCATACATGTGAAGTATGTGACTTCCCCCAAAGGATCCTGGGGAGTGCAGGTTTTCCCTCACAGAGCTAAATCTCCCAGCATCCTTACCAAACTACAGTTCCCAGAATTCAGGGGGTGGGAGCTGTATGCTTTAAATGTGCATTTGGGGGTGTGCTTTAGCTGTATGTGTCAGAAGAACTGCTGCTGTACTACATCCAAACGAATCGAAACTTTTGCTTAAAAGTGCATTTTTTAATGTTATCTTAAGTATGCTGCTTATACTGAAGCATCTCATTTACTTTTATATTAATAAACTAGCAACTGTTCCTCTCTGGAAGGAATGTTACATCTGAAGCTCCAGGCAGCAATAAGTAACAGGCTTTTTTATCTTAAAGGTGGGGGAGAGTATTCTATTTGCGTTCTTGGTTCACAAATGACCTTGTAAAGTCCAGATTACAAGGAAAAACAAAGATAGGACTTTAAAATTAAGTTCTCCACTGTAAACCAAAGGAGCAAATGGGACCGAAGGCGCTATGTGGGTGCCAACTCCCTGGCATCCAGAGTTGCGCAGAGTTGTGTACAGTATTTAGGGATCGACGTTTCCAGGAGGGATACCCTGCCCCTCCCCTACCAATCATCTCAGGATCAACATTTGAAGCCCCAAAACCATTCCCTTCCCCTACCCAAGAATATACAAATCAACATGGGCGATGAAATAACCTTCTGCACTCCTACAAATGCTAAGGATCAACACAATATTCTTATCCTTATTCTCTCCTATCAATGCATGCAACAGGGAGAGCCTACCACTTTTCTGTTCATAATTTAGCCCAGGAGTTGCCAGCAGAGTCCTTCAGATGTTGCTTGACCACAGCTCTCATCAGACCAAGCTAGTATGGCTAATGGTAAGGAATTATGGGAGTTGCAGCCAAAGAACATCTGAGGTTAACTACCCCTGGCTTGTTGATGCTCACAGATCCAGGGATAGTGGTGAATATCTAAAAAAAAACAAAAACAAAAACAAAAACCCAGATGTTTCATAATATAGTTTCAAATATTTACCCATCTACTTTATAATCCTGTGTGGATTTAATGGAAATCCATAACACACAACTCTCATAAACTGTTATCATTATCAAATAAATTAACAACTAAAAATATTAATTAAAACTTCTTCCCACCTCTGCAGTCCATCGTAAGTTACAGTTTCGATGTAATCAAACCGGCTATCCACCCAGTAAAGTCTCTTCGATACAATATCCAAAGTTATCCCAGCAGGCCAGCCTAATTTTGTTTTAACCAAGTCTAGGCGGTTTGTTCCATCCATGAAGGCTCTTTCCACTTTCGGGTCACCAGAGAGACTATCCCAGTCTGAGAAAAATAAATAACTATAAAAGGGAAGAAGAAAAGAAAAATCCACTGAGTGCCTCTCAGTCTTCACAGAAATTCTAAAAATAGTCTTGTGGCACCAGACCAGCCATTCTGCACACTGGCCAGGATAGGACACATGAGGAACTAGGGTCAGTGTATGTGTTACACCAGCCACCAAGAAATGCAAATTCTTACTACATCAGTCCCTCAAACTGCATGGAGGAGCTCCCCAGTAATGCCCTCTGTCCCATGCAGAACCATTGCAATGAGAAGACTATTCCCAGCATCTTATACAGTGTATACAGTGGCCTAACTACAGCAAACAGAGACCAAGGCCCCAATCTACTTACAACCACAGTTGATTAATGTAGATTGCCTAAAGCAACAGAACTTTAAGGATGTGTCTGTCAGATGGATAGATCTTGTAAACTTGAGCAAGCTAGATATCAACTAAGTTGTCTTTCTCATCAACATATGTATAGTTACACTAAATCTCTTTGTAAGAAGACATTTCTAAGTAAGGTCACATACATACCATACCTTTGAAGTTCATGGCTTCCTCCAAAGAATCCTGGGAACTCTAGTTTTTTCATGAGCGGTGGGAATTGTATCTCTGTGAAGGGTAAATTATGGTCCCCATGATTCTTTCAGGGAAGCCTGTTCTTTGAATGCATGGTCTGCATGTTGATGTGAGAGATAACTAATTATCACTATCTCCCTATGTTCACACCCATCTTTCCCAGGCACTGATTCTGTAGCAAGTACAGTGGTACCTCGGGTTACATCCGTTTCAGGTTACAGACTCCGCTAACCCAGAAATAGTACCTCGGGTTAAGAACTTTGCTTCAGGATGAGAACAGAAATCGTGCTCCGGCGGCACAGCAGCAGTGGGAGGCCCCATTAGCTAAAGTGGTGTCTCAGGTTAAGAACAGTTTCAGGTTAAGAACGGCCTTCCGGAATGAATTAAGTACGTAACCAGAGGTACCACTGCACTAAGAAGGTGCCTGCCATCTCCTGTCACAGACATAAACACAGTGAGTTGCACCATATTTCTTCCTCTTCTCTTGGATTCAGCAAAATGTTCCTATCACGACTCTTGTACTGCTGCACCGGAACACAGTTGTTACAGCAGTGAACAAAGGAATGTAAAGCAAAATAATGCAATTCTGCAAGAGGAAGAGAACACAAGAGCTGAAAGCTCTATACCATCATCCGTTCCTATTTATTCCACAGTCCATGATATTTCAAAAACTTTAAATGCTTTAAAGTTTACAGTTTACAAACAGAAGGGATTCTGTTTAATTCAGCATTATAACTTACCCAACAGTAGGATCGACAGCTATTCCTCTAGGGTTTCCCAAGCTTTCAGCAATAAGAGTTACTCGATTAGTGCCATCCAAATTTACCATATCAATTCTGTTGACACTGGTTTCTACTATATAGAGCTTGTTGTTAATCCAGTCCACAGCTAGGTTTTCAGGTGTGTCGACTGAAACATTTAAAACTTCATGGATTTCTGAGCCATCAATGCCAACTGAAAAAACCTGAAAGTAAAGTTTGAATTACAATGGTGAGGTCTTTGGACATTTAGAGCCCCCTCTGAATACAGGTCTAGCATCAGCAATCAAACTTTTGTCTGCACAGACCACTTGAAATTTGTTGAGTCCTGGCAGATCCCTTAAATTGTTTTTTCTGCCTGTTGCAGCAATTGTAACGTGATGTATTAGATGCTGTGTGCTTTTCACTGTATTTCACTGTATGTTTCTTTTATTTCTTATATACTGTATTTTATTGTAAAGCAATTTGAATTCCATAGTTCAGTACAAGAACAGAATAAAATACAACACGATATAAAAAATAAAAGAAGAAAAATACAATTAAAAATCAATCTGAAGACTTAATGTGATGGATGTGCCATCTCCCATCTTCAATCACAAATGCACAGACATGTCATGGACCATCAGAGTGAAGTTTGTGGACCACAGATTGGAAGCCCTTGATCCAGGGGATGCAGAGAATGGGCTACAGATGAAGCCAAATGTTCTCCACATCACTACT